CTGCTCATCATTCTGAGGTTCAACTCAGTACACCTCAAACTGCACTGCTTATGAACTCTCTCATTTGAAGAACTGCGTGTATGTGGAATGAACTTCTCGAGAACGTTTCTCCGAATGAATTTCATCTCCAGCGATTAAAATCCAACGTGAATCGCCATTTTCACATAGGCACCGCTCTCAGAGCGCCTAAAAGTTTGTGGAGATGTGAAGTGTTGTTTATGAAAAAAAAAGTCAAAAGTTTATTGCAAATTAAACACAAATGTGAAATTTTTTAAAAATTTCATTTGGTACAAACTGTAATAGAAGACGTTAGCAATAAACACGTGTATCCACTCGGAAGGAACATTCAACTCGGAGAATAGAGTAGGCACTTGTTGATCAAGCCCAAAGGGGTAGAAGGGATTGGCTAAGTGACTTAGTTTCCTATGAGAGTATATTCCCATAATTATATATTTTAAAGATATGAAATACCCAAATAGGCATTTTCATTAATATTCAGTGCCTGACTATTTATATACGTCGCATTTGTGTGCATATCATGTACGGTGTTGATCCTTCAACTTTTAGAATGCCGAAACCGTAGAAATTGTTATTTTCAGAAAAAAATGTATGAAGACAGTTTCTGTATTTGATTTTATGATCTGTAATTTTTGTCTGCTGTATCCGCCCAGAAAAAATTGAACACCCTGTGTGACCGCCAATATTTTTATTTTGTCAGGCTCGTGCAATAAGGTAATATTATAGAAATTTAGATTCCCTATCTATTTCTTGAATTGAGATATGGAACACCGCGCCACTGTTGCAGGACCCTGTATATTCTTTTTTCAATGAAACGACATTCTAACGGCAAACCTTGGTTCAACAAAAATTGGGAGCAAGCTGTCGCCTCCAAAAATCTCGCCTACCGGCAGTGGCGCAAAAATCCCAGTGCCGAAAACCAAGCTAGGTTTGTTAATGCTCGCAACAACTGCAAACTTAGGATACATGAAAGCAAAAAACTTCACAATCAGAAAATTAGGGATGAACTGCTAGCCAATCCCAACGGATCTAGATCCTTCTGGTCGGTAGCTAAACCTGTTAATTAGAACTTTACCAAATCCATTCCACCACTAACAAGCGGATGGTTCAATCGCAACAACAACCATAGAGAAAGCAAATCTACACGCTGAACAATTTGCGTCCCACTCCACAGTCGATTCTCTGGGAAAGGCACCACCCACTATACCCACTCTAGAATCCCCCACTAGAAATTACTCTTCGACAGCGTCTAGTCAGGCGAATTTTGAAACAGCTCAATATCAACAGGGCGTCTGACTCTGATGAAGTTGCCGTCATCGTACTTAAAAAGTACGCAAATGAACTCGCATCAGTATTTTGCCGACTTTTCAACCTGTCTTACAAGAAAAGGAGTTTTCCTTCTTGTTGGAAGATTGCTCGAGTCCAGCCAAGCCCCAAAAGGGGCAAAATAATCTTTCAAATAACTATAGACCACTCGCTTTGGTATCAGTGATATCAAAAATCATGGAGAAAGTCGTAAACCACCATATCCACAAATATT